AAAAAAAAAAAAAAAAAAAAAAAAAAAAAAAAAAAGAATCTTATGATATTATGAAAGTAATTTAATTTCTTTAACAGATTTCATATTTCAGCAACATATTTACTAATTAATGTGCCTGCTGAGGTTTTGAGGATTGTCCTTTTGGAGTTAATATATAAAGGCATTTTATCCCATATTCCCTTTATTCAGAGAAAGCAAATACTCAAAACTGCATATTGGCCTAAGCACTTCATGTAAGTAGACATGCTTCTTTTATTATGCATTCTGCTCTTAAGCTGTTTGCTATTCATTGTTAATGAAAAACATATAAAGACTTTTTAAATTAATGCAATATGCATGGTTTATTTGTGAATTCATAAACCCACAACGCAATTAAATGAATTCTGTAATACTTAACAATTTAGTTGTTTGCTGTGATAACATACAAAACCAATGCTTCCATAAAGGTCATTTCATTGTATATTACATTTGTGATTTGGAGATACTTCCTCTACAATAGTAATTATATTTTTTAATGGTTTGAAATATATTCACACTTTAAACTTACCCCCATTCTAAACAATAATAGATACAAAATCATAGTTTTGACGTTGTTGGCTCTGTACTTTTATACATATTTTAACAAAATGTATAATTACAAAAATAAAAATAATTTGCTCTTGGTTAACCTAAATCATCTTATTTTTCACAATGTAGAAATCAATGACATGTATTAAAATTAAAAGTGAATAGTAAAAATTTGCTTAAGAACAGAAATTTGTGTGAGATTTTTGTTTTTAATAATGACCCTTATTTTGGACAACTCTCAGAAGAAAAACGGGTTACAACTTTATTGTCCAATAGAATAAACTTTGGCTGAAATTCCTGCCCTGACCTGCCCTGCCCTATCTTGTTCTTTGCCCCTTTCTCACGTTTAGGAGGATAAAAAAGAATAATCTATAATATATACGTCTGAAATAACCTCTCTTACATTCAGTATAAACAATTGAAGAGAACCCAAAAGTAGGTGGCCAGGATGCTGAGAAAGTTTCAGAGGACATGATGAGATTTATGGAATAAATAAGACCATTTAGACAATGACGTCAGAGCATTTCTCAATATCTGAAAAGTAGATATGTAGGAAAGGAGTTGACAGAATTCTGGTGTCTTCAGAGGTATGACGGTGGAGAAGGAAGAGATGAGGATGTAGGAGAAAGAGAGAGTTTAGCACAGAGAAGAATAACTAGAGCTCTTAGGTTGCAAAGAGTAAGTGTAGTGATCTCCATAATGCCGAGGAGGATCGGGCATTAGGCAGGATTGGACAGATGTTCTCCCAGGCCTTTCTAACTCTGATAATAACAATAGACGCCAATTATTAAATGCTCACTAAGCTGGGCTAGGCATCTTGTAATCTTCTCTCTTAAGTCTCCTAAGGACATGTAGGATAGGCATGACTGTACCTATTTTACAAATGAGGAAACTCAGTCAAAAATCTGATGAAGGATGAATTTTAATTCAAGTCAAAGTGACTCAAAGCCTACCTACTAACCATTTTATATTATAAATGCAGTCTTGGAAATACAAAACTTTCATTTTGTTTTCATCAGAAAATTCCTTCACCCATCAGCCAAACTGAAGCCACACGTTGTCTTCTTGAAAAACAAAGAGAGGTATTGTAAATTATAATTGTGTGGAAAGGAAACTAAAAACCCATTATGTGAGCTGTTTCCTTCCATTTCTGAGAAAATCGACATATTTCCCAAGGAAAACTTATGCTTTCAATTGTGATCCTTTTATGCTTTGAGAGTGGGGAACAGAATAGAAGAAACCAACATTTCCCAAGAAAAACTTATGCTCTTAATTTTTATTTCTTTATGTCCTGAGAATGGAGAACAGAATAGAAGGATCCAGAAGTCAAGCTGTTTATTTCTACAAATGGTGTTACAGAATCAGCAAAAGCTTTGGTTTCTTTTTATTTGCCTAAATTCTTTTGGGAAAAAAAAATTATTTATAAAAGTGTCTCTTCAAGGAAAGAAAGGGGTGTTTTTGTTTTGTTTTTGACTTCAGGGTGTCTCAAATACTTTCAAGGAGTATCAGGATGTTTTCCAAATAATTCAAAATCACTTAAAACAAATATAGACCTTAATCAGGTTTTAAGCAAAGACAAACTTAGGAAATCAGTCATAGCAGATGGGTTAGGAACCTCCAAAATGTTTTGGGAAAAACTGACTTAAAAAAAAAAGTGTGGGAGTGGGAGGGAGTGGAGAGAGAGAGAGAGAGAGAGAGAGAGAGAGAGAGAGGAAATAGAAGAGTGAGGGAAGAAGGGAAAGAGCAAGGGAGAGAGGGAGGAAAGAAAGAGTATTCACTCATAGTCATGCTATTACTTATCAGTGAGTTTGCATGTATTTTCAAGGAAAATGCCACTTTTGCTGTATTCTGTTATAGTTTCTCACAAGTCTCTTCTTAATTATTATATTGCAAAGTTCCTATTCAAACTTAAAAACAAACATTTTACTTCTTGATATCAAGATTTCACATTTTTCATCCTATCGTAATTTCCTCTTTCTTGATTTTTGAGATTTCTTTTCTTATCTTCCTTTCATGAAACATTTGAACTTCACTAATATCATCCCTATGGGAACCAGACTGACATTCCTCTATTCCCACTAAATTGTACATTCCAATATTATGAATAATTGAAATTGTTCAAAAATCCAGAACTTTGAGTTACAAAAAGTTGTATTCATTAAGTACACATTTGTCTCATAAAACCTTACTTTATACAGATGCCAGTTCTACACAAGAGGGATTATCTTTTCTTTATTTTCCTAACTCCCAGCAGAGTACTTTCCTAGGGATAAGCTCATAAACAAACAATTGTTGAACTAATGAGTAAATGAGTGGATATATGGAAGAATTAATGGAATTTTATATTTTATGATACAGAAGATTTATAAAATGCTAATGATTTATTTGAATGCAATGGGAATTGGTTGAAATTTCAAGTAATAGTCAAAAAGGAGATAAAGGAGATTTGACATATTTTATTATAGATTTAACATTTTTCTCTCTAATTACCCAGATGAAATGCTGGGAAATACATATCAAACAGCTTAGAAAACAAAAAGAATTCTATGGTTCTTTAAGTAATGTGCTTTTGGAAAGGGAAATATTTAGTATCTGATATAGTATTTTGAATCAAGAAATCTGACATTTCTTAGTCTTTTTAAAGTAAACTGAGTTTTCTGTTCTATATACAGAAACATGATAAATGCAGATCTTAAAGATTCCATTAGACATTCTTCTTTAAGTTAATCCCCAAGACACTCATGTCTAAATGTATTTAATATTTATTTTTTACTCTTAAAGTGATGCTATTTACATTTCACTTTAGAATGCAAATCATGTCAGTAGGATATGAGGGATCAAGCTCTGGCAGTTTTAAAGTTAGAACAGTCACATGTTCACAAGTTCCTATGTAATTCAAAAGAAAAATCACTGTAAAATAAATGCTTATCATTTAATTGTGACATGGATCAACTTGTACTTGGTTCTAGAGTTCAGTTGTGGGGGCTTCCAGGTGGTGCATTTGATCATAAGATTTGCAGTGCAGAGCTGGAGGATGCTTCCAGAAGTCAAGCAGTGGGGTTCCATGGGATATCCAGAAAAGTTCCTAGTTTGGTTATTCCCAGGAAGCCTTCTTGCTGCAGACTGATATTAATGGTCCCACTGCTCCTCTCTCTCATTTACGCTCTCTTCTTCTTCAGGGAAGGCTGATTCATTCTGGCCTTTCAGATGCTTAACCCCTGAAATTATAAAAATGGTGAAAAATGCAAGTGAAATTGATTTCTGGCAGATTCATGGCTTTGCTACAAGATGAAGAAAGTGAGTGGAAAGTTTTCATTGGGGCATATGTGTTTTTGTCCAAGAATCTCAACAATGTGCTTCTATATAAACCTTTTGATTCACTGAGCAATAAAAACACTCACCGCCAAATTTCCATTAGAGACAGACTATCTTTTATAATTAAATCTTTTCTTTTAGGGATTACATCACAGCCTATTAAAACCCTGTTAACTAAAAATCTGCTCACAGGCTCTTATTATAATTCTGATGTATCATTTAGTTCAAATATTGCTTTTGGCATCCCTGAACTCCATTACAAGGAGAACTATTGAAACTCTTTAAGAACAAAAGGGTGTGTGTGTGCCATTTCTGTAACTTGTAAACAACAAAACAATCACAATATTGTTAGTTTTCTTTTGGAACCTGAACATATCCATTTGATTATAGAACACCTGTATTCAAACAATAAATGAACATACAGAGTGGAAAAAAAAACATGGGCCTGCCATACAAGGCTCAGATGATCTGGCCTCTCCCTACATTTTGGGCCTCATTTTTCAACAGCTCTTCTTCCCACATTTATGATCATTTGTGCCCTAATAATGATAACCTACTCTTCCTCATTCCCGACCACTCCAGGCTCCCTCAGGCATCCCTGCTTTGCTTATCCTGTTCTCACTGCCAAACATCTTCTTCCTCCTCATACACCTATTTATCTCTCATTCATCCTTCCAGTACCAGGGTGCCTCCTCTGAAGGCTACCCAGATTCCCCAGGCAGACTTGGTAGCTCTTTTTCATATTCCCCCACTGATCCTGGATTCCTCCTGTAGCACCAGTTACCTTATAAAAACTCTGTCTGTTCAAATCTTTCTAATTAGAGCAAACTCTTTGATGTCAAGGCACCTGGAGTTTCACTTGGGAGTCCCAGGCACAGTGCCTACTATACAGTAGGTGCTCGTTAATATTTACTGCCTGAATGAGTGAATGAAGGAAGGAAAAATTGGTACACACCTTTGTGAGGTCCACAATAATGATCTTTAGATAGGTTTCAAAATTAATTCAAACTTGTGAGTATAAATCAGAAGACCGCTACACTCAATCTAAAAAAATTGCTCTTTCATTTTCCTGGGTCTATTTCTGTTAACACATCACATTCTCTACACATATAGTGATGTTTAATGTGGAAACTTCTATACTTTTTTTTATACTTTAGAAAATTGGTTTAGAAGGTTTTTTTCTAAGTATTACTAAAATATACTCCAATTAGAGCTGATAAATGAAAGGAAGTTACTATTCATGCTTCCTCTGAAACAACAGCTCAAGAAATGTGTGGATTTGCACGTACTGTAGACAGCAAGCCTCAGAGTACTATTTGGCAAAGAATGATGTACTTGGACTTCATGGATTATCTTGCAAAAATATTTGATCAGTTGTAATAATATTTAAATACTTTAATTTCATCCACAAGTACAGATCACTCAAAATTCCTCTTGACCCAAGACTATGCAGATAAATTTGTTACTAAGAATTGAAAGTTATTTCATAGTACTATAAGTTTCATGGAAAAGAGGTCTAAAAACTAAGGAAAAGAAAAGGGAGCATCTGACCAGTCACTCTGGCAACTGGTTTTCCATGTACGAATCCCTACATCTCACAACAACTTAGGGAAGATATGATCGGTTCAAGGTCACAAGGGTAGTATGGTGCTAAGAGGAGCTCTGACATTGCAGTCCCTCCATGTTCACTGGATGAGTGGATGAATGAATGAGTCATGAGCTTCCAATATCAGGATACCTCCACTAATTTTTACTATTAGCTTTTGGGATGCTAACCCATCGTTCATTCGCAATCACTCAGAGTTATTATGGGTTTAGAGTATTAATACTGACCCTGATGCAGAGGATTTTAAGACTCCTTCTGAAATATTAATCACTCAGCCACCTGCCACTCTTTTTCCTGGGCTGAGGCTGACTGTGCTTCCCCACATTTGCAAAGGTTCTACAGACTCCAGAGCTCATCTCTTTTAACTGCAAGGTAACTACAGAGTAATAAAGTTGTATTTGAGACACATTCCTTTAAATGAGAGTTAATGGCCTAATACCAGCATTGATTTTTCCAAAGGAGGAGAGCAAATGCAAAAAAAAAAAAATCCACAAATAAAATGTTCAACTAATTTAACAAACATTAACCAACTAACCTACCACTATTTACACTTGAGTATAGGTCTACTTGCTTATCCTGATCTACATCATTGATTTTTTTAATTACAATGGTCACAAAGTCATATGAAAAACTCATACGTTTTTTAGAGAAAAATGAATCACTTGGACATATTTTAGAAGTTTCCTTCCTTAGCCTTATTCAAATGTGAAATGAATTACTTCCAGGTGAAAGTTTTGATGAGACCCAAGCTGGTGACAAGTATCACAGAGATGTTATGCAGAACACCAGAAATTCTTTGTTTTCCAAAGTAGTTACCATAATGCCATCTTTCAATTGGATAATAGAAAATTGGTTAATTTGTGTTTTGAAATAGCCTTCAGACCAATGTTTTTCTTTTCCTATCATCAATATTTATTTGGTTATAAATGAAAGAAGCTAAAAGGAAAATGTGAAGTCTGCTGAGGACTAATAATTTTTCTCCTCACCCTTCCCCCCCATCCCCAAACACATTTATTTTGCATTCAATTTTCTTTAAAATCCCCTTTGATGTTTGAGTAATTCTGGAGAGGGAGGACAATGAATTGGTCTGGGGGTGTTGACAAAATTCTTGGAGAGTCCTCCTTTGCCAAATGCCAACAAGCATGAGGAGAACCCTTCAGTGCACAGGGGCTGTGGCTTGGCATATCACCAAGATCCTCCCAGGGCAAGCGCAGACTCAGCCAGGACTGCACACAGGCAGGAGGCAAAAGGAATCCATTCCGAAAACACAATGGAAATTCTTTTCTCCATCCCAAATGAGTGCACAGGTAAACGGCCCAAATGTAAGACAGAAAATGTTGTATGAATATGCAAAGAAATGAGGAAAGTAAAAGTGAAGGAAAAGAAAGTAGACCAAGAAAGAAGAAAAGGAAAAGAAATAAATGCCCCCAAGTGGGACCTAATTCTTATTATGTTCTTCTCTAGTTTGTAAATCAGGGGGTTAAATGTAGATTAGATGAAGTCCTGAAGCAGCAGTGTGAAGAATTCTGAATAATCTGTAGACCGAAACAAATACTTAGCAACCCACAGGTCAATTTTTTTTTTTGATCAATAAATCTGGAGCCCAAGATGACAGGTTTATTACATTTGTAGATGATAAAAAAAAATTGGGGAAAAAGAAGATTACATGAAGAATGACAAATCTAGAATTTCTAATGGCTTCCAAGAGCAGGACAATAGCCTAAGTGATGAAAATAGAGGCCAATAAGGATTTTTGTTTTTAGAAAGGTGCTTTGGGTTCTAAAAAAAATAAATAGAATATGAGTGCAACCTTGATTGATCATAAGTAGGGGTTTTAGGTGACCAAGTTTCAACATGACCATATAGAAGCTTCCTGTTTCTAGGATCAGGCTTTAGGTGTCATTGGTGGCATTTCTAAAGCCAGAGTCAGCAGTTTGAGAAAGGGATTTGCTCTCTAGCCCTATGTCAGCCACACCTTTCCCCCAACATGCTGCCTTCTCATTCTGGGCTCTGCCTTTCAAGAGGACCATTGCGGAGAGTCAAAGGGATTAAAGGTAGTTTTATGAAATCACTCTTCTAAAGGAATTGTAGATGAAACTAGAATGCTTAGCAGAGAAAATGAAGAGTACACAAACTATTGGGGAAAAAAACCATAAAATTAATTTAGGTAACACCTGAGAGGATTAGAAACTATATTGATGGATGCCATTTATGAAGTGGGAGATATAGCTCAATATAAAGACAATAGCTCCTAAATTCTGTTAGCTCATCAATAAACATGTGATTGAGCTCCTCTTTGTTGTCTGTGTTCAAGTCAGAGCTGAACTTCCATCTTTGGAAACTCACTGACCTGAGATGCTACTAATTTACAAAGGGAACATGTTGTACTATTGAAATTTTGCTCTGCTATTCGTACTATAAGTTGCAGGGGAAAAAAGTAATTATAAGTTCAAATGACATGATAGCCCAAATCCACATTTTAAAACTAATTCACATTGGGAGTAATAGATATAAATGGATTTTTTTTAAACTACATACTTTAAACCTTAGAAATAATTTTAAAGTCCTCTAGGGAATCTGTGAATGGATTTTGGAGAGACTCTGAAGCTCTCAGAATTCTGCTTATTCTTGTGTTTGTGCATTATCAGGGAAAAAGGTCCATAGTTTTCTGCAGAATCTGAGGGGTCTCTGTTCTCCAAATATCCATGAATGTAAACAGTAGTTTAATCTCTTGTAGTGATGGAGGAATATTTCAGACAGTGAAGTAATTAGCTTAAATTCACACAGTAATTATTGGCTGAGCTGGAACACAAATGTTGGGCCCTAACTCCTACTGTGGACTCTTTACCCGTGTCACTAGGACTCAATCTTCCATTGTTGTTGATCTTTTCTAAAGTTACAACTTGGAGAAAATTATTTTGACTCAGGATCACCTGGCCCTTTTGACTATCAAAAAACTTTAGATAGTGGCTCTAAATAGTAACTTTTCAGTCTTCTTGTTGTTATTGTTTTCAACAGAATTGGGAATCAGAAAAATGTAGAATTTTAACCCTGCCCAGGAACATTCCCATAATAGAATCGAATTACAAATAGTGTTGAGGTCATTAGAAAAGAGGCTGCCATTCTCTCTGCTGAGCCCAGACCTGGAACTGGACTCTGAGAGACATAGGAAAAATAAAGTAGTCTGGTCTGTGGAGACAAGATGTAGTAATCATCAAGCAAGATGAGTAAATAAAATAAAGGCCCGTGTGTATGCTGAGCATGAGAGAGACATGACTACAAATCAGATAGGGATGA